CAGCACATCAAAGCACACACATACACATATACACACATACACACATACTGACAAGCACAAAAGCACACACAGCATACAGCACAGCACAGCACAGCACAGCACAGCACACACATACACACATACACACATACACACATACACACATACACACATACACACATACACACATACACACATACACATACACATATACACACAAACCCACAAGCACACACAGCACACCGCACACACAGCATAGCACAGCACAGCACAGCACAGCACAGCACAGCACAGCACAGCACAGCACAGCACAGCACAGCACAGCACAGCACAGCACAGCACAGCACAGCAGACCGCAGCACAGGCCAGCACAGTACAGCTCTCCCCAGACGTCCAGGCATACCAGGCGTGGCCCTTTCCGGACACCATAGGGGGTGCGAAGGGGGTGGTCTCTCAGTGCGGCCGCTATCCACGACACTGTCGCAAAGCCTAGCAGGCGTGGCACTTTCTGGACACCATAGGGGTGCGCTGGGGGTTCTGGCGATGCAGGCTCGCAGGGCTTGGCAGGCGTGGGATTTCATCGACACCACAGGGGGTGCGCTGGGGTTGGTCTCCCTATCCGTTGCGGCCTCGCAATGCGTGGCAGGCGTGGCACTTCCTCGACACCACAGGGGGTGCGTTGGGGTGGTCTCCCTATCCGTTGCGGCCTCGCAAAGCGTGGCAGGCGTGGCACTTCCTCGACACCACAGGGGGTGCGCTGGGGGTGGTCCCCCTATCCGTTGCGGCCTCGCAATGCGTGGCAGGCGTGGCACTTCCTCGACACCACAGGGGGTGCGCTGGGGGTGGTCTCCCTATCCGTTGCGGGCTCGCAAAGCGTGGCAGGCGTGGCACCTCCTCGACACCACAGGAGGTGCGCTGGGGGTGGTCTCCCTGTCCGTTGCGGGCTCGCAAAGCGTGGCAGGCGTGGCACTTCCTCGACACCACAGGGGGTGCACTGGGGGTGGTCTCCCTATCCGTTGCGGGCTCGCAAAGCGTGGCAGGCGTGGCACTTCCTCGACACCACAGGGGGTGCGCTGGGGGTGGTCTCCCTATTCGTTGCGGCCTCGCAAAGCGTGGCAGGCGTGGCACTTGCTCGACACCACATGGGGGTGCGCTGGGGGTGGTCTCCCTATCCGTTGCGGGCTCGCAAAGCGTGGCAGGCGTGGACTTCCTCGACACCACAGGGGGTGCGCTGGGGGTGGTCTCCCTGTCCGTTGCGGGCTCGCAAAGCGTGGCAGGCGTGGCACTTCCTCGACACCACAGTGGGAGAGCTGGGGGTGGTCTCCCTATCCGTGGCGGGCTCGCAAAGCGTGGCAGGCGTGGCACTTCCTCGACACCACAGGGGGTGCGCTGGGGTGGTCTCCCTATCCGTTGCGGGCTCGCAAAGCGTGGCAGACGTGGCACTTCCTCGACACCACAGGGGGTGCGCTGGGGGTGGTCTCCCTATCCATTGCGGGCTCGCAAAGCGTGGCAGACGTGGCACTTCCTCGACACCACAGGGGGTGCGCTGGAGGTGGTCTCCCTATCTTCGGATTCGTAAAGCGTGGCAGGAGTGGCACTTTCTCGACACCATAGGGGCTGCGCAGGAGGTGGTCCCTGAGCGCGGCCGCTATGCACGACGGTCGTCCAGGGCATAGCAGGCGTGGGGCATTTTCTCGACGCCAGACGAGGTGCGCAGGGGGTGGTCCCTCACCGCGGCCGCTATGCGCGCCGGTCGTCCAGGGCATAGCAGGCGTGGCACTTTCTCGACACCATAGAGCGTGCGCAGGGGTTGGTCCCTCACCGCGGCCACTATGCACGACGGTCGTCCAGGGCATAGCAAGCGTGGCGCTTTCTCGACGCCAGACGGGGTGCGCAGGGGCTGGTTCCTTACCGCGGCCGCTATGCGCGCCGGTCGTCCAGATCACCGGGCTCGCAAAGTGTGGCTGGCGCGGCGCTTCTCCTCTTCCACCTCTCATCTCGAGTGGCGCACCAACGGTATCGGCGGGGCAACGGCCACCAACATCATTATCACATGCTTCACTTCCGCTATCATCACTCCAGCCATAATATAAGTATGCGGGGTTCCTCGGTCGCGTAATTCAAGTGGAGATGCCTCGCCATGACCAGGACTGTGGTAATGAAACGAAAGCCTTGCATTATGAATTCGACAGGATTCGGGCACCTCTGAATGCCCAAAACTATTTGATAATTCTAGATCGTGAGTTCAGCCTGCGAATCTTTGATCTCGTGGTGAACTTTTAAGACTGATGTGTGCGGCGCTGAGGCGGGAACTACATTTTGAAAACGGCCACCCATCCTGGATGCTGCTTCAGCACGAATGTGCGCGGCGCTAAGGCGAGAGCTACATTTTGAAAACGACCCCATTCCATCTTTGAAACAACTGCGAACTGCAAGCCTTAGGATCAGAAGTGGTCAGGAAGTCTCAGGCGAAACACCCCGCGGGGCTATGGACATGCCTGGGGGTGCGACAGAGTGGAGC